CATGTATATATATTTCTGCTAGTAAGGAAACTATTCGTATTCATCTGCCTCACTGGTAAACATATGTTACTGTGGTCACATTGCACTGCAGTATGGAGCCCCTCATTTTCATGGCCATCAGTGGATGCCCGCTCATAGTGACCCTTTGGACAGGGTAGAACAGCCCCTGTGGGTTCCTGAGACGGTCACTATTTTTATGGGAGTAACAAACCCCTTCTTTCTTATGCAGAGTGACTGCTGGTTTCGATCTGCTGACCTTTCAAATCACAGCCCAACACATATGTAACCACTAGGGTTCCTTATGCCATCAGGGTTCCTTATGCAAATGTGAGTAGACTAGCCCTGTGTTCATAGGGCTAGCTGTGTTCATAGGGCAACCACCTGTCCTGTGAAAGTTATGTTTCTGTGGTGTCCACAGATGTGCCTTGTTTCATAATCTCTGTTCTGCTGCCTGCCTTCCTTCTAAGTCAAGTGTATTGGGGGGGGAGGGCGTGCTGGGGAGGGAGGTGGGGAACACGTTCGTGAGCAGGCATTTGACTAAGACATTTCTTATGAACAGCTTTGCATTAATAATAATAATATAATAATAATAATAAAACAAAACTCACTGCAATCGAGTCAATTCTGACTCAGCGTGGCCCTATAGAACACAGAAGAACTGCCCGTGTGGGTTTCTGAGACCGGAACGCTTTATAGGAGCAGCTCGCGTCATCTTCCTCTTCTGGAGGCTGCTGGTGTGTTCAAACTGCTGACCTTGTGGTTAGCAGCTGTATGTGCAGTCCACTAGACCACCAGGGCTCCTTTTAATAATTCCTAGGATATTAAAATTGAATGCTTGTGAGGTTGTTTCATTTTCTCCAGAAATTGATAGGCTTGGATTTTCATCTTGACGAATTGTTTCTTGTTGTGCAAGTCTGTACAGATTAGTTTTTATTGGTCTCCTCCATCAGATATTAAAATCCAGGATGGCACACCTGTTACCAAACCCATTAATGTCAAGTCAATTTCATGATGAAAGCATCAAACTCTCTTCCCCTTGTAGTCTCATCTCAGGTTCTCATCCTCGGGCCCGATTGGCATTTTGGCCTGGATAATGTGTGTGTGTGTGTGTGTGTGTGTGTGTGTGTGTGTGTGTGTGTGTGAAGTCCTGTTCATAGTAGGATATTTAGCAACATCTTTGGCTTTTACCCATGAACATCCAACTCCCTGCCAGTGAGTTGATATGCAAGCAGCAAACCTCATCTTTCACACCCTGCGCAGTAGCTGGTGGGTTTGAGCCCTAGGCAGAACAGGCTGCACAACCAGGCTCCAATTGAACTTTACAAAGTAGATACCAGTAACCCTCCACCCTCAGCTATAACAACCCAAAGGGCCTGTGTTAGTCTGTGTACTTCAGAGAAACAAATCCACAGAAACTCATGTATAAGAGATAATTTTATCTAAAGGTTAAGTGTGCATCAAGAAAACATCCCAACTTGTGCCCAAGCCCACAAGTCCAACATTAACCCTTTAACCCATATTTCCAACACCAATCCACAAAGTCCTCCTCCATCTCACAAAACAGACGCAATGATGCTGACTGCAGGAGGA